TTTAGTTCAGGCTGCCCACCTGCCTTCTTCCCTCTACTCCAGCAAGGCCTCCTGAACCCCACTGAGTTCCTGAGGCTGAGATCAGATGAGGTATCTTGACATTCTACTTCCTGCCCATCTCTGCCAGGGGCTCCCAGAGACCGGTCACTTTGAGGCACCCTGGGGTGCTATCCAGGCCACAGGCTGCTGGTGTCATAGGCTCCCAAAGCCCTCCTAAGTCTGAGTCCGACGGGGCTCAGAACGGCTTGCAGGGAACAGTATAGCGTCTACTTAGAATGACAAGGCCTTCTTGGGAAAAATGCATAGCACTTACTTGTGACTTAACTTCCACGTCATACACCAGGCTGTCCCACAGACCATGGAACTCCACTGTCAACACAGAACAAGGTGTGATTTTAGAGGTGTGAGCATCAGTCACATCCCGTGTACCAGTTTGCACCTGGGCTCCTAGCAGCCCTGATGTGGTCAGACAATATCTGATTATGAGAAGTTACAAGTGTTAAGTTTTTCTTAAAAGCTTAATTTTCTTAAAATTAAAGACACAAAATAAACGTCAGTCGCATGTGACTGAGAAAAGACAGTAAAAAACCACGTCAGAGAATGGTTCCTCTGTCGTGTTCTCATGCACAGCTGTCTCTTAAGGAGCTGTCCTCGTAAACAAGCAATGACACTGACCCCCATCCGTCTGCCTCCACAGCGTGAGCGCTCAGCAGTGCAGGGTGGGAGCAAAGACCCCGACATGTTAACCCCAGGACCGGCTGCTGGCACGCAGGCAGGCTCCACGGAGGACATCAGCACGAGCCAGGGGAGGAGCCAGCAGAACCGCCAGCACTCGTAGCCAGACAGGCTGAGGACAGGCCCCAGGGCAGGGCTCTGACAGAGGAAGTCTGTGTCGTCTCCATTTCACAGGAGATGGAACGCTCTGAAACCCTGAAGCACGAACAAACCAGCAAGCACGCCCTGCTGCGTTGGCATGTCCAGGGCACGTGCAGCCCCTCTGCCCAACTCACCAGCACACTGCGCCCCACCCTGTACCTGCAGGCAGAACCCAGTGGTTTGCCGCAATGATGTTTTCTGTCTCTTCCTCCAGGTTTTCACTGCTGGGGCCGTCTTCATTCAGCTGGAAGATGTGCAGTGCAACTGTGCAGGTACTCAGATCGATGGGCTGCAGAAAGAGGAGGACGTC